TTTTCATACCTTTTACTTGGAAGAATAATCTTACCTGCCTCATTTTCAATAGCACATCCATTATTCTTGAATTTAACTTCGTACCCCAAATCACATAGTTGGCTGATACTTAGAAGATTGTAATTGAGTCCATCCACTAGATATACTTCAGTAATATCGCAATTATTGCTGAATGGAACCGTGCTAGTACCAACTATCTTTCGTCTTGAATCGTCTCCAAATTTGACATTTCCTCCATTTATTTTGGTAACTTCTTTGAATAGATTTTTGTTACCCTTCATGTGACTGGAACACGCACTACCTAAATACCACTTTCCTTTGCGACTCTTTCTGTAGTGTACCTACAAAATAAAATTATCACCTTCTTTTAGGTACCCAAACTTGCTTGGGTCCTTGTTGGTTAGTTTTGCTTTAATCAGGATTATTTTTGGGTTTCCATATCCATCCTGAAACATTTGAATTACGAAATCTACAAAACGAGTATTTATGACCAACTTTGTAACAGTAATGACACATAGGGGTTGATCCAGTTTTTGATCTCCCACTTGTGTTAGTATTTGTGGACTCACTTCTAGCCAGTTCTTTTCTAGTTGACTTGTATGTCGCCTAGTTAGATTTGACAAAACTGTGACTGGTAGACTTGCGCATGCCATTAAGTTGCATTTGCAATTCCTGAATTTCATCTTGAAGTACATCTCTTTCAATTTCACAGACTTCAAGTTTAAGTTCCCAGTCCTTCTTTTCTCTATTGAGTCTCCTTAGTTCATTCAACATTTTTTAGTCTCTTTTAGGGTAAGTTCAAAAATATCCTGCAATTCATTACATCTATCAAAGTTATAGGATCTTACCTCGCTTGTTTTACCTCGTGCCATGAAATAATTTTCAGTATCTTCTTTGCATTCATCGTCTGATGCATCTTCATCCGTCTAGGAGCCAGATTATCTGTTCATGTCATTTCCAAAATGGTCATGAAGTACATGTTTGTTATTTCTTCGTGTTTTTAATTGTCTTCATCACTCCAGCTTCCGAAAGATTTATTTTTATTGAATCCTCTGGAGACTTTTTGTCACGATCTGAATTACCCACTGTCGGGACCGGGCGCCTAACATTGAACCCGCTAGGCAAGCCAACGTTACTGACTGTTCTATATTTTTACCTTTATTTTTAACAATTTACCAAGTTAATGCAAGTAAACAGCAAAAATAGAAATGCGGAAGAACATAATTTTAACAATTTAGTTAATACCAATACGAAACCTATAATAATACTTCACCCAGAACTAGTGTCACGATATCATGAACTATTTACGAGTACTACAAATAGTGGTCTAAATAAAGAAAATACATGTCTGTCTCCGAAATAGATAAGAATAGAAAGAAACAAGATAGAAGGCGACGCCAAGGCCTGCAGGACTACCTCGGGTCTCCGCTGGACTGAAGGCAGCAACCTCTAACTACGGTCTGTATGCTCCAGTACCGGGGTCCGCTGCGGTGTACTCATACCCTTTCCTACACATGTTTTTCGTGTGCAGATCCAGATTCTTCTACTCAGCCATACTATCCGTGAGGTAAGGCTATTAAGAGACTTCAAGGTATATCTGCCGCATCCGCAGACCTAGAAGTCCCTCTCTATTCTCCCTTCAGTTATAGGCTTTTTCCATGTATTTCCTTGTTATTAGACTTCTGGAGTTAGAAACCTTATGTATTTTTCTTAGCTTGTGCTTCATGAGATTCCGGATTTTGGGAGTGTTATTATTGGTTGAGAGTGTTATTGTTATGTATGCCGAGCAGTATTTTAAATACTTTATCTATATTTACCTGTTAGATGACTAGTTGTGCTTTTGAATTCCTTCCTTTTACCACAAAGTGTTAGGCTTACCTAGTCGTAGAGATTAGGCACCATCACGATAATTCACTAAGGGAAAACTCGGGTCGTGACACTGCTTCACCTATAGTTTGGCTGGTCTACCACCTCCCTGCAAATGATTGGTTAATGCTCCTCTACCGATCCAATTATCCCACTAGAAACTACAGTTGCCTTTTTAAACTTTGTAGCTGATATTATGCTCTGCTTTAGCTCTAATCTTCATTATATTTTTTCAAATGTGAGAATATGCTGGATTCGATCTTTTGTTCACTAGATGAGCTCTTTTACAATATTTATTCTTGAGAAAAAGTGGACCAAAAGGAAGGTTGAGTCCTGAATCTCCACCATATTTTGATGCTAAGAGTATCAATGCTATCTTCTACTTTCCTGACTCCAACTCCACCCTTGTCTTTGGGTAGACAAATATTGTTCCTTGAACTCCAATGATATTTATTTTTACCTTCAGTAAAACCCCAAAAGAACTTAGCAAAGTGCTTCTCCATAAGCTTAGTAATTCCTTTAGGAGGGTTCATAACACACATCATATAAATTGGGAGAGATTGTAGGACATGTTTAATGAAGATCATCCTCTCTCTAGGAGACATCATGTTACTCTGCCATCCATTGAGTTTTTGACAATTTTAGAGAGCAGTCCATCAAAGAGACTGTTATCTTCCTTCCATAATAGATAGGCCATCCCAGATAGTTAAATGGGAAATACATATCCATAAATCCAATCACATTCTGTTGGCACAAGTATGCGGAGCTATGATAAAGAAACTCTTGTCATTGTTAACTTTCTAACCATATGCCTACTCATATCTGTCAATCAGCTTCTTAATGAGACTGATTATATCGTTATTACCTCCACACAAAATTACAATATCATCAGCATAAACTAAATAGTTAATGATAGGACCTCTGTGATCCATACTGAAAGGAATATAACTAATAAAATAATTCAACTCATTTAGTGGACTGGAAATAACCTTAGCCTTAATGATAAACAAAGAAAGAGATAAAGGATCCCCTTACTTGAGGCCCTGTGAAGATGTAAAGAAACCAATTCTAGCGCCGTTAATAATGATAGAGTACCAGACTCTTTATACAAGCCCCTAAATACGATAGATCCAGCTTTAAAAGAAGCCAAACTTTCTTATCACTACCATCAGGAAGGTCCAAAAACTCCTGTCATAAGCTTTGGCCATGTCAAACTTTATGATTACATTGCCTCCTCTATTCTTCTTGTTCACACCTTGAGCAATCTCCCGTCTAGGAGAATATTTTCAGTTATCATCTTTCCCTTGAGAAAACCACTCTGGTTCTCACAGATGAGCTTGCCTAGAATAGGATTCAATCTTCTAGATAGGATTTTGGAATTGATTTTGGTAGTGAAGTTACTCAAGCTAATAGGTCTCATATATGAGAAACTACTAGGAGAGTCCACTTTAGAAATAAGGGCTATAACACACGAAAATTTGCAAATCATCCTAAATTCCTTTTTTATGACCCTAAAATACAAAAAAATGAGGAATGGTCATGGTGAAATGATGACCATTGTTTATTATGTCATTTTTATGGGGAAATTTTAGACGATGCGAAACCAGTAACCCAGATTCATGCAGATAGCATGGACATAGCACATGAAAATCTGGAAATCATTTTGAATTCCTGTTTTATGGCCTTGAAATGCCAAAAAATGAGGAACGGTCATAGCGAATCGATAACTATTGTTCATTAGACCATTTCTATTGCCACCCCCCTCAAATTTTAGACAATCTGGAGCAGGTCACCCGAATACATGCTAATCGCTTGGATTGTAGCGCACAAAAATTAAAATTTGTCCTGAATTCATATTATGGCCCTAAAATGCCAAAAAAAAGAGGAAAGGTCACGACGAAGCGAAGACTATTGCTCATTAGGTCATTTCTGATGGGATCGTAAAATTTTAGGCGATTCGAAGTCGGTCGCCCGAATTCATGCAGATGGCGTGGACTATAGCACACGAAAATCTCAAAACCGTCTTGAATTCCTCTTTTATGGCCCTAAAATACAAAAAAATTAGGAATGGTCATGGTGAAACAATGACTATTGTTCATTAGGTCGTTTTTGATGAGCTAGAAAATTTGTAGGTGATTTTGAGCCGGTTGTGCGATTTCACGCAAATGGCGTGGACTATAACATACGAAAATCTAAAAATCGTCATGAATTCTTGTTTTTTGGACCTAAAAATGCCAAAAAAGGAGGAACGGTCTTGATGAAGCTATGACTATTGTTCATTATATCGTTTCAGATAGGTTCGCAAAAATTTTCTGAATAGGAGTCGGTTGTCTGAATTCAGGCAGATGTCGTGGACTATAACATACAAAAATTAGAAAATTGACATGAATTCCTGTTTTATGGCTTGAAAATACCAGAAAAAGAGAAATAATCATGGCAAAGCAATGATAGTGTTAATTATATTGTTTCATATGGGCCCGAAAAATGTTAGGCGATTTGGAGCCGGTCACTTGATTTCATGTAGATGGCGTGGACTATAGCACTGAAAATCTAGGAATTGTCTTGAATTCCCATTTTATGGCCCTAAAATGTCAAAAAATGAGGAATGGTTATGGCGAAACGATGACTATTGTTTATTAGGTTGTTTCTGATGGACTTGCAAAATTTTAGGCGATTCGGAGAAGGTCGCCTGAATTCATGCAGATGACGTGGACTAAAGCACACAAAAATCTGGAAATTGTCCCGAATTTCTATTTTATGGCCCTAAAATGCCAAAAACGAGAAGTAGTCATGGCTATTTTTTAGTGGATAATACTGATGGATAACTATTTTTCTAATCCACTTTGCTACCACTATGCATAAAGTAAGTGATAAAGTTGCTGTCATGTGACCAGGAGGTAACAGGTTCAAGCCGTGGAAGCAACCTGTTGCAGAAATGCAGGGTAAGGCTGCGTACAATAGACCCTTGTGATCTGGCCCTTCCTGGGACCCTGCGCATAGCAGGAGCGTAGTGCACCAGGCTGCCCTACCACTATGCGTAAACTAAATCCTTAAGAAAAAGAGTTTAACTAATATCAACCAGCCACTATATGAAATCAGTGAGATTAGAAAGGTACAGAGATTGAAGGGAATCGATGTCTCAGCCATCACAATCTTCCTCATCCATTCAAGTTCCATTAAAACTTCCTAATGACCTTAAATTGGTCCCTAAGTTTTGGGCCATTTTTATGAAGGGCTTTCTAATTATTATCTGCTTAGTCGCCTCTATTTCTCTAATCTCCTTTATTCCTCATTTCTCCAACAGCAATGCTTATAGTGCTGCTCCGGTTACAAACTACAGACAAAAATATGTCGTTAAAGAAGAAGAAGAAGAAGAAACAAACATATCCCACATTCTCTTTGGCCTTGCAGGGTCGGCTAAAACATGGAACAATCGCTCGCGTTACTCTGAGCTCTGGTGGAGACCAAATGTAACGCGAGGGTTCGTGTGGCTCGATGAAAATCCCCAAGAAAACGAGCCGTGGCCGGATACATTCCCACCCTATAGGGTTTCCCAAAACACTTTCACATTCAAATATACATGTTGGTTTGGTGACAGGTCAGTTGTGAGGATTGCAAGGATTGTAAAGGAGAGTTTTGAACTAGGTTTAAACAATGTAAGGTGGTTCGTAATGGGAGATGATGATACATTGTTTTTTCCTAAGAATTTAGTGACAGTTTTAGCTAAGTATGATCACAACCAAATGTATTACATTGGTGGGAGTTCCTATAGTGTGGATCTGGATGTACTATTTTCCAATGGTATTGGTTGCGGCGGCGGAGGTTTCGCAATTAGTTATCCTCTGGCGGCGGAGCTCGTGAAGATTTTAGACGGTTGCATTAATCGCTACCATTACTTGTTCGGTTCTGATCAGAAGATCGCTGCTTGTATGGCTGAGATTGGAGTTCCTCTCACGAATGAACTTGGTTTCCATCAGGTATATATTCTTTTAGATTCAGGATTTTACTTTACATAACACTAGGGTAAAAGAGCAGCCTGGTACACTAAGCTCCACTATGCTCAGGGTTCGGGGAAGGGTCGGATCACAAGAGTCTATTATATGCAGTCTTACCCTGCATTTCTGTAAGAGGTTGTTTTCACGGCTTGGACCCGTGAAAACAACCTTACGTAACATTAAGATAATTTTTGAAATTGCTAATCTATGTGTATTCATCTTATTATAGGTTTAATTTTCTGGCATAGATTATTTGATAACTGTATTTTTTGGAGAGTTAAAAAGGATTTGATTTGATTATTTTATCAAATATTTTTCAAATATTTGTTCATTGTAATATTTTTTATTTTTGTAGTTTTATGTAGTAGTCAAATATATAAATTTTTGTATTAATAAGGAAGTGTCATTCTATCCCAATTTTTGTGACACTTTTTGCTTTTCAATATTAATTTTTTTTATTTTGATCATGTATCTGGAGATAGAATTTTTAAGTTTTTCAAAATAAAATTAACATATTTGGAAACTACGTGAAAGTAATAGTATTTTGTTTGACTCTCGAAATCCGTCACATAAGTAGGGGAGGGCGTATATGTTTTTTTCATTATGGAAAGGAATGAAAGATTTACTTAACATGTTTGTTTTAAGATGGATATATTCAAGGAAGCGCACGAGGGTTTTTTGCAGCACATCCCGTGGCGCCACTGGTTTCACTGCACCATTTGGAGATAGTAGATCCTCTAATTCCATTGATGAGCCAAGTCGAGTCAACGAAGAAGGTGATTAAGGCTTACAACAAGGACCCAAGTCGGGCAATGCAACATAGTTTGTGCTATGACCTAAAGAGAAACTGGTCATTATCAGTTTCGTGGGGATACTCAGTTCAGTCATATCCGTGGTTGATGAATACTAGGGAATTGAGAACGCCAATGCAGACGTTTAAAACACTTAGAGGAATGGACGGACCATTCACATTCAATACTCGGCCAAACTATTTAGAACAGTGTAAGATGCCATTAGAGTATTACTTGGATCAAGTTACTGACATTGGCAATGGTGAAACCTTGACAATTAATAATAGGATTAATGTTGATTCTAATTACAAGCAATGTGAGAACCAACGTTATAAATCAGCATTAGCAGTTGATAAGGTTAAGGTCACTGCTGGAATTCTATCTCCCCAAGTATGGAGACAGGTAATTAATTTCTATTTTATTGGGATTTTTAGATAATTATGCATATATTATATATATCTTCACTAGCTATTTTTAGTTTAAATAGTTGGGTGGGAGGCTGTTTGGGTTAATTTAATAATGAAATGAGACTTTTACACAAATAGCCGTCATATTCCTTATTTACTTTTTCTAGCTATATACATAGTTTATACATTGATTTTACATAATTATACACATATAATACATAAAATTATGCATATATATATATGATCAGGGTTAAGCAGTTGGGTAGGCGACTATTTAGATTAATTTAATGAAACCAGTCTTTCTTAGTTCCTCTGGCATGTGACATAACTCGGAGTATGATCGGGGTTAAATTACTCTAATGTAGACTTATCAAGTTTTTAAAAGGTTAAATTTGCATATTTGAAAACAATATAAAAAGTATTATAAGTCACGTATATAAGCAATAAAGATTGCATAGTAATAGTGTCACATAAACTGAGTAGAAAAAGTATTAATGTTACTAAGATCATATTCACAAGGAAACACGAACTCTCCACCCTAAATCTATATTATATAGTACCATTTTTAATTTATGGAGAATTTAATTATTCAACTCGTTTTATAAAAAGCAGGCACCACGTCGGCAGTGTTGCGAGGTTATCGACGGCAAAGATGATAGCTTCATACAGATCAGAATTAGAGGTTGCAATAAGTTGAAATCAGTAACGCCGCCGTTTTACGACAAGTACGGAGAATTCGCCTACTTTCAAATGGACGTTCAACCATTGAAGTGGACAAGAAGTTTACAATCTATGATAAATGGGAAAAGAAAATGAAATCGTGCTAACAAATTGTATTTCGCGCTATTATCTACTTCCTCCATCCCTTTTCATTGTCATAGATTTAAGATTTTTGTTTGTAACTTGAGTTGTTGGGAAATAAAAAATTTGTCTGAGTATAAGTAGAATGTTTGCAAATCAATCAAGTTGGGGCCATATTATGAGTGTTAAAGTGAGTGCTTCCTAGAATTTGCCCAAGTCTTAGCCCTTTAGTTACGAAGTAATGTAAAAATAGATAAATAAAAAATATAGTAATATTTAACGTGAAAAATCACCAGGCTCAAAAAGATGCAAAAATTACGATCTACTCTATAACATTTAATTTAAACTCCACTAAAATAAATGAGCCAGAAAAAAAAAATTTAGACTATAACTCTTGCAATTTAAGGCTTAACCCACCAAACATTGTCACAACTATTATACACTCTCAAGTCACTCTGACTCTGAGAAACTCGAGTTCACAAGAACTACTTCAAGAGTCAAATGGGTTAATTGTTCACGTTTGTCAAAGTACTATGCTCTCGATCTGTGTGAATGGGTTTTCAGCGAGACAAAGTGATGTTTTAGACGTTAATACCACACAGGAGGGTGATTTGTGTGATACCCAATTTTTGCTTTAATTGAACTATAGAAGAACCTGGTTCTTCTAGGTATTTCAACTACTACTGTTTGCAGAATAATAAATACAGAAAATGAAGAACACAGAGATTTTCACGTAGAAAACACCTGGCTCAAAATGTGAAAAAACCACGACCTACTACTCAGTAGGATTTTCCCAAACTTCCACTAAAATCAAAACACCATTTTACAAAAACACTTTGTAAACCTAAGGATTAAATCTAATCCCGTTGTGGCACACAACCTCAACTGTTGCGACAACTTCAAGTTAACTCTACCTTGAACACTCTAGGTACCTAATACAATTGCTTCGACGAAAGCGGAAGGTACAACAAAAAATCTCCTACTACAATTTAATTAGAATAAAGAATAGACACATGGAACTGGTTCTTCTATCTCGTTCAAGTAGGTTCAGGATTGCATACTCAAATCACACATAAATTGCTTGCAAAATCGCCTTGCTCTTTTGCTTTCAATTTAAGTTTAACTTCTGCTTGTGTGTGTTGCCTATAACAGAGAACAACACTAACATTTAATAGGTTAGTAATCAGAGCTTGACTGGGATTCAATTGCTACTCTTCTATCGTAGAAGAGTTCATGATGATCTCAAACTCTAACACTATCTTCATCCTAAATTGTGTTCTCTTCATGTAAGGAGTCTTTCTCTCCTTATCCAATATGCAATCTTTTCGATCATATAAGGAGATATTGCTTCTTGATCAGTTAAATTTATCTCATTCACGTGCATCTCACATGTGCAGGTTAATCATGACTGTGCTTCACAAGATGGACCTGGTCCATGTCTGAGTTCTTTTGTCAGTCTTCAAAACATCACCTGTTCTTGGGTCAACAAATTCCCACTTTTTGATGATGACAAACTCTATGCTTTTTACTTACTCGGATCCTGTACGAACTTAGCTTATCCATCAATACAAAGTTTAGAAAATTCACTTATCATCAAGGACCAAGTTAATTAGGTTATAAATATCACTTATTCAGAATGTGTGTAAAGCACTATATACAATATCTCTTCCCCCTTTTGGCATCATCGAAAAGTTACATACAAAGTGTAAGTCCTAGATTTTAATAAGTACTCATGCCCACTGGGGAAACTGCAAGTGCAATCATGGTTTAATCATCAGTAATCAAGCAAATATATTTAAACTATCAAGGAAAGATTAACATTGAACAAGAGCAAAAACAGTAGATTTCATTGATAGAAGATATGTTGCTACCACAATCCACAACACTACAAGAAAACGGCTTATTAGCGACCAGCATTTAGCGACGAGATTGAAATCTGGTCGCTAAAACTATACTTATAGCGACTAGATTTATTTCTGGTACCTAATTCTAGAATAAATAACGAAAAGACTGAATCTCGTCCCTATAATTATAAAATTCTCATCCCTAATATGCAAAATAGAGCTGGAGTGCGGGACTTGAGGTGCCGCCCAAAATTTCTTCTAAAATTTTAATATTTTTATAATTATAAAGAGATAGAAACCTAGAAAAAATAATACAAAAATAGAAACTCTTAAAAACATTCCCCAAGTCGTCATTTAGGAACTAGGGTTTACTCTCTATCTCTCAACGTTTCTCTCAAAATCCCCAAATCCTTATCACTTTGACAACTAGTTCTGGTGTTTCATCAAAATCTATTCTTGATTTCATTGTTCAAAGTGACGATTTTTATCATCAATCTCTTCACGATTATTCTACAAATTATTCAATTTTGCTGAGTTATTTTGGGTAATTGTTTCCACCACCAACTAAAGTTGGATCGATTCTATTGAGTTGACATTCTGTGATTCAACAAGCTGTTTTTATGGCGAGGCCGTCTTTCTGAGCCATTTTGAGAAGAAGAGCTCATGTCTTATTCACTTCAGCCTTCGCATTGAGATGAAAAGGAATTGTTTTTTTGTGGTCTAAGGTGCTTCCAAGAGTATTTTCTTGAAATTCGTAAGTTTTTCTTCCCATAATCATATTCTCTTTATCTGCTTCAGCTATGCTTGCATATGTGCGCTGACAATTTTGTTGCTTGAATGCAAGATTTGATTATCTTTACAACTTTCTTTAGAGATGAAGTGTTCCAATCATCGATTAGTATTCCTTTCTTCCACTCACTATTTTAGACTTGCTGGGTTTTGCTATTAATTCTTGTGGGTTTTATTTTATTTCATTTACAGGCGCAATGAGTTATTTTTAATATTTATTTTCATTGTTGCTCTTCATTTTGTTGATGGATACATGTTATCCATGTTTTTTCTGAAATTAGGTATTTATTTTATAGTGCGATTCTTACTATTATTATACTAATGTCAAATATTACAACTAACCACTCCCTTACGTACTAAAAGGAAACTTTAATCAATAGAATTATTATACTTTGTTACCAATACGTGTGGAAGTGGACATCGTTCTTAGGTTGTAAAGAACCTGGTTTTTATTACTGATATCTATCTTTTTAAGATGGAACTACCGTGTGGCTGCTAAAGTCTAATTTGATTATTTCTTCATGGGAGGGTTTTGATGTATAAACTTATGTTAAGAAGATACTAGGTTCAGTCTCATAAAAGTTGGAGATAGGCATCTCGTGATATTCCAATTGTTCAATCTACAACTACAACAATTATGCTTCAATCTTGAATTAGTATATATATACCAGAAGTTCAATCAAGAGCTCGTATATACTTTTTATTTTATGTATATTTTAATGTAGTTTTGTGGTATCCAGAAATCTAAATAGGATAAACAATGCAAAAGTTTGAAATTTGAGTGGAGTGGAAGATTTCATATTAATTTAATGAAATGTTCATTCCTCCTTGTTTGTGGAGCATCATACTGGCAAAAAATGAAATACTAGATCAGGCAGAACCAGAAGCTAATAGCACCATTACCACACTTATTTCCTAATTCTCACATTTGTTAACTTTGTTTATTTTGTAACTACCTATTTATCAAAATAATAATAATAATTATAAGTTTGAAACTACCTAGAAATTATCATTATCTATATTTACCATGTGCATTTGTTGCAATGGTGCTTTAGGTTGGTAGTTGTCATTCAAAGAATTTGAGAGTTCTATCCCTTTCTATTTTGATTTTGGGCATTAAGTGTGTGGGTGATAAGATCCAGGCTTAACTATCACTTGATGAAAAAATGCTTAAAGAATTATGCCCTGTATATAAGAAAAATGTCAGCTTGCTGTTGGCAAACCATTCTGGCTGCTCAGTACTCTTGCAGCTAGATGTGTTTATTTGATTGGAAGTGGATTTATTGTTCTTTCATGGATTTTCTTCTTCTGTGAGGTCATTTAAAATCCAAACTGTTTCATTCTTGATTTTTATGTATCAGGATGTTGCAATGAAAATCATTTCATTTGCTCAGCAAGGTGCTAGAGCTATTTGTGTGCTGGCTGCCAATGGCGCAATTTCAAATGTTACACTTGGTTAGCCAAATTCATCTGGTGGAACTTTGACCTATGAGGTGTGGCACTTTACTTTGAGAAATTTGATTTGCATGTATGCATCTGCTTCATTCGTAGTCAACTGTTTGCATATATTGTATATTCTCTGCATTCTTCTTATAGAAAAGAGCTATTGGCATTCTGCTTGATCTCCTCCTTGTCTTTAAAAGGGAAGCGAAATACTCTAGATGTTTGCATTTATGCGAATTCTTCGAAACATGCAACCTTGTGCCGCATTATAATGAGTCTGCTTGAAGCTTTGACATCCAGGTTGATATGGATTAAATTTGTTATAGTGCGAAGGCGCTCAACTGCTTCTGTATTTTTTCCCTTTTAGTTTGAACATTCTTGTATTGATGTTTTCCACTGACATGTAAAATATAGAGTTCTGTCATCTTTGGTGAGACATGTTGTCTAATTTCTATAGTATGTATAGAGAAGTATTGTTCCTTTATCCCACGTTGAACCAATCCAATAAAATAGTTATGGGTAATCTTTCTTCCTTAGATAATGCCTAGTAATCTAACTTATGATTCATGTTTTTTACAGGGTCGATTTGAAATTCTCACCCTGACAGGATCGTATATGTCTAGTGATAACAAAAACCAGAACTGGTGGGATGAATGTGTCCCTCTCGGACCCTGATGGTCGAGTTATTGAGGTGGACTTGCTAGCAGCTAAGTTCCTTTTCTTGATTCTTTTCTCTTCTCTTTCCAGGAGTAAGTTCGATAGCTGGAAACAATGCCATTTGAAGTTGGCACAATTTGAGTTAAAACTTGAGAGAGTTAGACAGCAGGTCCAGAAAGCTCTTTCATGATTCTTGTAAAAATTATGTTTCTTTTACTTGTCACAAGCATATCTATGTGCATGTGCATTGATCATTATGGAATTGTTAATTATTATCTCACAAGTTAATGGATAATTGCAAGGACACCAAGTTTTAGGTTCAAATGCAGGATAATTGTCAATAGTTTTCTTTTTATTTTTGCATCAGTAGATCTGTGTTAAGTGATATGAAAATTTGCTACATTGAACTGATAGGAACATGAACCCCTCACAGTTTCTTATTTACAGAAGAACCCAAAATATGATTATGATAATAAAAAAATAATTATTTGTTTGTCTCCCTCTAACCCTATGGAACCTATTTGTACATAATAAGATGTAGTTCTCCTAGTCATTGATGAAACAAATTCATTTTTTGAGTGTCCCTTATAGTGTTTTAGTTGCAGACATGACTATTTTGTGTTTTCTTTCATCATGCAAGTTCCTTATATGACCAAAACATTGTTATATTGCAATTTGTTTATGAAATAATGTAGGTCTCACAATTAGTTACCCAATATTTCTAGTTGATTATTATAGTTTTTTAAGTGAATTCACTTCATACTTCTCACAGGTCATGAGACATCAGTTTACAAGTGAAGATGCAGATTTTGGAGACTTCAAGTTGACAAGCTAATTATCATTAGCCCAGAACTATAGACAACAATTCATTTTATTTGCAAGTGACATTAATTTATTTTCTTCCTGAGGGGTGTGTAAATAATACAGTACAAATGGAATGTTAATCCTTTTTTTTTGTAATTGTTAGAAGTAT